TTTTTTCTCCTCGCATGGGGGAGTTTCTTCTGATGTTTGATCCATTCAGGGGCACGAGGCTTGAGCTCAGATATCTCCAGTTCATGGGAGCCGTAGTCTGATTGTTCGGATGAGATGGCTGAACTCGATCTGGTGACGAAGCCACCAGATTGGGTTTAGAGTGCACTTAATTATGTTTTTTCCGCAGAGGAGGGGGTGATTCTAGGAGAAGCCTCGCTTAAGAAGATCCAAATCAATTGAAATTGGGAGGACCATGGTAACGGTAGTTTTCTGGAGTCGTCCCCTAGCAGTGCTGACAGGAGTATGACTGAAAAAGCCCAGAAGCAAGTTTTGTCGAGAGATCGACTCCCGATTGGTAAATGTTGCCTGCCCGTCCATGATCCTGGAGGAGAATCCAGATCCAATATATGCAGATAATATCCATCCCGTCTGAGCTTGCCTTGCGAGGTTTGTGCAACCACTTCAGCATTCCCACGTCCTCTGTGTTTCTCGCGTGCGTCGTACAGTAGGGAGTACAAAGTTGGACTCTAGTGGTACGAAGTACTCTTCGGAACCAGCGTCGTGCTCGTGGTGATGGGAGCAGGGATTGCAGAAGAACGGTCCCAAGTATTGGTGGGGTACACAACCACTTCCGGACACATGCATCATTGTGAAAATTTGGAGTTTGGAGAGGACCACATCGCCTCCGTACGCAGGAACCTTCAAACCTGTTCATGCCGTGGTCACCGTGCTGTGCAGCAACAATGTACATCTCATGCTGTCAACGTAGCACAGGTGAGGTTGAAGGGCAAGAAGCTAGAGACCTGCCATGTGCAATCGTGGGGCAGAGTTTCGGGCTTCCATGTGGTGCTCAAGCTTCTTCCTTGTTGAACAGGACCGGATGAGCTGTTGATCCAGGGGCCGTGACTCGCTGGTGTTCGACGTCCTCCTTGCTCTTTGCCTTGCCTTGCTGCAACACGTCTCGACACCAATCAGCCCTCAATGATACTCACTCATGCTAATGACGACGGGAATCACGAGTGTCCCAGAGATCCTTTGCAGCTCTCTGGTGAGAGGACCCGGAATCGCCTCTACCCCCTTGGCGGTGATCTACGATCACTGGTCGATATCCAGCCTCCCTGGCACATATTAAGCAATATATCCATTAAACACTAATGTTCAGGACCGCAGCGAGTACGAGGACCGTCAGGGCGAGAACGAGAACGTGCACCACTCACATTATTGCGCAGACAGACCCCTCAGTCGCAGCACAGCAAACAGCACAGCACAGCATTGCACACAGCACAGGGCACAGGCTGCCAGGCATGAAGCGTGCATGCAGAAAATCATCTCCGACTGATCCACGAAACCCCGATTATTGTGCTGCCCCCATTGCTGTTCCATTATTGTCTTCCCCTCTCCTCTCACACGGTATGCGCGGCGAGATATGATTGCCAGCACGTCAGTTAATGCCGGATTGGGCGATTCTTCCCAGGGCCGTCGAAGAGTTCGTGTGCTTTCTCGTCAGCATTCTGTCTTCTGTGTGACATCGCGCGGGGGTTCATGGCCAGAGGCATCGGAGTGGTCGTTGCCATTGAATGAATGGTAACACGGAACTTTTTCTGGACATTTGGAGCTTCACCAGAATCATGCGCCAATAGTTCTGTGGTGCTAAGCGAGCAGGCCTACAACCAAACCTAAGACATCCTTCACTCTCCAAACCTCCACCTGATTGATCCTCATCGTCGTCGGGAGATCTACTGCCGCATGGCAGAACGCTTGGAGAAAACTCCAAACACCACCTTCCATTTGTATATAAATATCTACGAAACATTGCCCCCATTGGTCCAGCTTGGTGAACGCATCAGAGCCGTGGAACGTCACTGTTCCATCGTGCCGGAGAGCAGCGCATCGAGTTTCAACCAAGCCTTTAGGACTTCAGATCAAGAGCGATCACCCGGAATGCTTCGAACACGCATATACATCACAAACACAAACAGTAAATGCTGTAATCATAACTCATGTCGCCAAGGCTGCGACGAGAAGGAACAGTAGCAGCAGCAGCAACAGCAACGGTTTACTCATCTTCCCCTTACCTCGTCTCAAGGTTTGGTTTCGCAAGCAACCCCTCGTTGCTCACTGGTGCGAAATTGACAATCTCTGGCAACGCCACGAGGCGTCTGGTCGCTGACGGGCGTCGCGGCGCAAGAAGCGCATACTTCTATTTGCTCAGAGGAAAATAAGTTAACACCTTTATATATTACTCGTCGTCATCTTCTCCTGACTGCCTCGCCTCCGTTTCTCTCACCTTCTGAGCTCAGTTAGTCTGCAGCCGTTTGTGTGACCACCAAGTTGGGTCTCAGGATGATCGCAGTACTGTACGTAGGTAGAAACCAGAATGGCCCAGTTTGAGCCAGACCAGGCTTCCTGTTGCTCTGTTCGTCCAGCTCTCCCCTCCAACCTGTCAAGACCTGATCTGCATTACCCGAGGTCAAGGGATCAGCAGAGGCGCTTTTTAGCTCTCTGCAGCGTGCAAACCTTCACATGGATGGCATGGATGAAGAACGGCATGGATCCCCAACATCATGGGCGCAACAAGGGCATCCGACTGGAGTCGATTGTCTCGACACAACAATGCTGCCCCATGGAAGCGTGGATGCGCCCCAAGGATCATGGAACCGAAAGCCATTCGTGGGCGTGGAACTGCAGGCGAGCGAGCAGTAAGTGGACTGTGGGTACGGCAAGACTGAGAGCCAGGAGCCAGGAGCCAGGAAGCCAAGACTGCTCCAGCCGATGTCACAACCATGAATCACCCAACCCATGATGGGGGCCGGCGCCGAAATGCAGACCAAAGCAAAGTTACCTTTCTACTTTAGATCTGCTGCAAAAAATGGGCGTGGCCATGGAAGATCGAGTACCCGGCGCCGGTGGGCCAGCAGTTAGTACTGCAACGGGAACTTCCACCTGCTACATCACAAACGACTCCACATGCTCCTCCTGCACTCTTGTCGTTGAGTCGAGGGACCTTGACGTTGACTCGACGACGACGTTGACACTGTCGCTATGAACGACTTTCGACTCGGCATCGACACGAGCCCAGAATCTTACCAATAGATTCCCGAATGAATGTTCGGAATCTCGATTCTGTGCTGGAGGTGCTAGTGTCCCGTCATCCGTCGAGCAATATCCCGTGTGCCATGCGCGGGATCGATACCAACGGTGCAGACGAAGCATGGCTTCCAGCTTTTGCGGCCCGTGAGTGACAGACGCACGCGAGGTCGAGAGTGGATATTCCTACCGGTCGTTCTAGAGTTGCTTTTAGTCTCTTCTGGCGCTTTACAACCAATTGTCGTCCTCACGATCCTTTTTCCAACTTCCTCTTAGTATGTGGATCTACAACGCTTATTTCTAGCTACGGTTCTTCTTTCCCATGTGGTGTCCTCGAGTGATATATCTGATAGGTCTGCTCATATATTTTAAGCGATGCGATACGATGTCGTGAACAGGCCGCATCGCCACGTCTTCTTCTTTGCATTCAGACTTGACAAAATCTCTCAATCTGGACTGGGACGACTTCACTGACGAAATTCTGCATTTGAGCAGCAGCATTCGATCCCTGCAGCTTATCATCTTAACCTTGAATTATCACGGGCCTTCCACCGTCGAAGCGAGCTCCCCTACAGACGCCCATCGCGGCGATCGCTGGAGAGGCAGGGTGGGATCGTACAGTACGGACGGGACAGGATTCATTTGCCGCCTTCCAGAAATTCATCCAATATACCCCAAACAACAATCTTATCGTCCCAAGAGCGTCTGCTGTCCGTGTCACCATTCGAGCCTTAGGTGTAGCATCTTGCGCGCGAACAGACTGTCCGTCACTTCACGATTGTCTGAGCTTGAAGAGCATAGAGAACAGCGAAATACCGGTGAGTAGAAACCAGCAACCGTGCCCGAGAAGAACCAGCAGTCGAATCGACGACGGGGTGGTGGACAGAAATAAAACGAGTGTTCCACAATTGGGGTTGATGGCAAAGCATTGAGCTATTCCAAAAATCTGCCGGCTGCCACCAAGCGACGCTCACCTGAGAGGGCAGAAGTTTGCTGCAGTAGCAGAAAGTAGACTTTCCTCCACTTGTGCATCAGTGCTTCCGTCACCCTCGTCTCATGTATCCCCCTAACTTGTCAACATCCTGGTCCAAACATCTGATGGTGACAGGCAGGGAGGCCCTGAAAAACTGAGAAAAGAGTTCGCCTGGAACGGAATATCCTCCGAGGCACGTCTGCATTGAACAAGCATCCAACCCTAGCCGAGCGATATCATTGCGTTGGGGGTCTCCTCCACTGCGGGTGCATACCAACGGTCTTTTGCAGGCATCGGAGATCCTGGAAGACTCTCCCTTAGCACATCTATCCTGGACATCCTGCAAATCCTCCTTTGCACGTCCATATCGAGAAGCAGTGCCGGTGCAACGCGGCGAAGAACCAGTAGCAGGTATCGAGCCCACTGGGTGCTCCGGATCATCCCAACCATCGAGGAGAGTATTATTACTGTGCAAGGTTTCAAGGCTTGGGGCATCTCAAGTCACAGTCCCAGAAGCTGACCCACCCCAATTTGTGACAGCATTGCTACTCTGGAGCCGACTAGGATCTGTATGGTGGATTCACCTGATCGCCCACACACCAGTCTCCGGGAGATCTGATAAATATCATCAATCCCTCACGCACCTCTGAAGCCTTGCATTCGCAGGCGTCTCTTCCAACACCAGGGTCACATAACATTGTTCGTGGGAAACTTAAGACAGAAACTTAATATCATAATCCATAACAACCTCTTCACAGCAGACTTCAACAACACTTCACAACTGCACCATTCAGCTCTTCGAAATTCTCCCGACTTCAACGCAAGTCGACTCCTAAACTTATCGACCTCAATCCGGGTCATGAACCTCTCCAGTCTAGTACACGAAGGCAGACATCACGTAGAGCAATATCAACCAACTCCTGCAAGGCCACAACACATGATGGCTTCCTCTCTCGTCCAGAATCCATACACGGCTCAGCTCGGCCAAAATCCAACCTACACCTACGTTACCGCTCCTCAACCACCACCTTCTCCTCCAGTAGACGAGACCAGCAAATGTTCTCTACCATCCATATCAAGTTTGTTGGGTGTAGCTGATGGATTGACCCCTCAAGAGCAACAAGCTCAACAAGTGCAGCAGCAAGGTCAGCAAATACCATGAAGTTTCGTACAACAAGACTAATTGTCACCACAGCACAACAAAAGAGCGAGTACCGACCTGATTCGGGACATCAGCAATATGGACCATCACCAACCATGAATACTCGTGGAGCACTACCACCAACTCCACCGATGCAATCTGATTCCGGCTTCGACGGCCGCCAGTCACCTTCGACTGCCTCGAACTCGGGGTATTCTGTTGCATCAGCACCTGGCTACTACTTCGCACCATCAACAGTATCAGCTATCAACAATGTGGAACCGCACGCACAGCGACAACATGTTCCCGCTGTCCAGCGACGAGTTTCGATGCCAGCAGTTGCGATGGCTTACAGCCAATCCCCATACAACGGGTCTCAGTATAGCGTCTCCCCTCAACAGTCAATGAGCTCCTACTACTCGAGTCCAATGCAACCAACACCTCCCCCACAATCGCAAATTTCAGGACTGTACTACCAAAGACCGCTCCCCCAAGTATGTCTCTCCTCAAGCCTTGTTTCATTGCACGCGCTAACGGTCAAAAGCAATTCCCTCCACCATTGATGCCTGTCTCAGTCACCCTGACGCCTTCATCCGGCGCAAACCCATGGCAACATCACCACTACATCTCGCCATCATCAGCTGCCGCATTCCCTCAATCCCAAGACCGGTACATCTGCCAGACCTGCAACAAGGCCTTCTCGCGACCCTCAAGCTTACGAATCCACTCTCACTCGCATACCGGCGAGAAGCCATTCAAGTGTCCGCACCAAGGATGCGGAAAGGCCTTCAGCGTCCGCAGCAACATGAAGCGCCACGAACGAGGATGTCACAGCTTCGAAGGTGGTGCTATGGTATGAACCCACAACGACAACAACCACACGAAAATCATCAATCACAGCAGCAGCGATCACTCATGTCCTAATGTATAAACTACAATATTTCCTTTCCTGCCATTCGGAATTCTGTCTTGTTACTTTTGGGGTGGCAATTCGTCACTGATACCCACTCGTTGGGTTTTCTCCTGTCAATTCAATCATGGGAAAGAGGCGTTTCCGGCGGATAATATCGGCGGCCTTCGCATTTACATCGGCGTTAATGGTATTAGTTCCTCGAGAGAACGGAATGTTTGATAAGGGGGAGAGGGGGGAGAAAAACAAGGATCGCGAGATCTTGGAAGGCACGGCCAGAGATGGATGGGAGGGAGGGAGATGCTTGCAGGTCCATTCATCGTCATCATCGAATATGCATTACAAGGGGCAGGGCAGAGAGAGAGGGAGAGAAAGGTATCACCTCGGTAGAGAGTCGCGAGACCCTAAAATCGGAGATAGCAAGGCAAGCCAGGCATGGATCGTGTATGTGTACAGTAATGGAAAGCATATCAGCGTACAATCAAACAAAAACCCAAGCATTACCCAGACAGCTCACTCACACGTTGCATCCATCTGACATGCCTTCCAGAGAATTGAAAGGAAGTAGTCACCTCTATAGATTGTTTATTATTTATGATAAGGTCCCCATGCTTCGCTTTGTTCGGCAGTGGCTTACGAGGCTTTAATATAACCAACTCGCATACCCGCCTCGATAACAATAAACAAACCGCAAGCCTCCTTCCCGCGAGTGTGGGTGGACGTGCAAATCTCGAATTCATCCAGAAGAACAAAGACCCTGTCACACCCACACACAACCCTCTAGTTCCGTGAGGCTATGTAGGTATGTACCTACGTACCCTCTCCGAGATTGAAAGAAGCTGCGCATCACGAATCAATTTCCCACTTTTCGTTCTTTGGAAAGGCAAAAATAAAATGATGATTTTCTGGATCTCCCACTTCGATCTAGCTAGCATGATCCTCGGCCGCGATTCAGGCACAATGCAGCCCTATGTTTCCTTCCGTATTTGCGTGTACGGGTACCTGACAACAGAAATCTCCACCTCTGAGATACAGAGAGGGGGAGAGGGAGAGTTCGACCAGGGTTCCATATCTACGTCTCATTAACTCACAGTTCAAGAAGAGGTTCTAAAGGCATAGCACTAGGTGACGTTGGTGGTGGGGTTATCCTGGAACTTGCTTTTTCCTCTCGTTGATGAGCTCGCTTAGGTTGTGTTAGGGTGGTGGGATAAAAAAGGGGTCATCCTTGTTGCGAGGCGGCTGAAGTGTGCACCGTTACCGCCGTTCCCCATTTCCAAAGGCCTGAATGGAATGTCGTCTGAATCATTGATGGCGGCTTAGCACCAAACTACGAGGTACCAAAGTACAGATGTTCGGATGGGCCTCGCTGGTAGGTCAGATGGCCACACGTTCTGGAGAGGCTGCGTGCCGATTGATGCGTCGGAATACGGATGTGAAGGGACGTTCTTGGGTCGGCTGGCTTGCATTGACGAAGGAGCCAAACCGGAAAACCCCGATTGATCTTCAAAACGTGGTGATGTTCTGGTTCGGGTCCCTTATTCCATCGTCGTTATAGGGAAATGAGAAATGCGAACCTCCCCGATGCGTGCTACGATCGTCGCATTATCGTTATAAGAAGAAGGGTATAAAACAATAACGACGACGGATTCGGAGGTGGGATCCTGGGAAGCTGTCAATATGCACGACGAAACATTGACAGGAACCCATGGAACGCATGCATATATTATTAGGCATGAGGGTGATATGAGATGATTTTCGAAACGGTGACAGATCTTGGACCGCACGTTTGGGAATTGAGTAGTCCAGAAAATCATGGGATGGCAGTAGCCAGCCGTCATGTAATGCGGTGTGATCTGAGCGTCGTTGATCTTCGCGGCCCGCGGGGTTGTGAAACTTGGACAGTGTCGGAGGGCTGGACAGGGTGGCGTGCCGCATCATATGACATGGTAGTCTGTGTTTGAGGATTTTGTTCTCGACGAACCTTACGCGGATCGGAGATTCTCTGGACGGCGGTGTGTTTGGGAAGAGGCTCGAAGGAAAGTAAAGTGTGGTAATGTAAAAATAGAAACTTAGGTTGTGATGAAGGAGGATGGAATGCGACAACTCTTGCGCCGCAAAACAATAGGGAAAAGAATGAAGGAATTCGATGAAGATGCGCTGAAGATCATCGGATGAACAGATCGTCTCGAAAACAAATCATCATCGTTAATCTGAAGATCGCAACAGGTCGATTAAACGGTCTCGGGGAGGCTGTGCAAAACGTGAAGCAGCCGCAAAGATCAGCCTGATGGGGATCTTTAACTTAAATATGACAACTACCCTTTCACCCAAGATTTTCTTCGTGAGAAGTTCCGCTCTTCTTCGACGTGAATTGCGCCATTTGAGGTGTGAAATGAGTGCGTGGTTCCGTACGGTGATTTGAGGGTGAAGACGCTTCGGAGAAGTATCGTCCACTTTGATACCTTTGTTCGAAATCGAATTATCCACTGAAGTGTTCGAAGATATCCTCACGTATATTTCAGGACAGTAATCTCCTCTCGTCCTTTGCTGCTTTCTTTTCATTTCGGCCATGTTGGCTTAACCCTCGAGGTCAAGGAAAGCTGTTGCGCTGGTTGCATCGATGGCGCCAGCTCGAGACCGTGGTTTTCATAGCTCAGAGTCGTTTCCTCAGTACAATCTTAGATCCTTGATGTACTTTGACTCAGACGAGCTCCAGCTTGATGATATTAAAAAGCTTGTGTGTACTTGATCCTACGACACTGTCGCAAAGCAAATGTTTGGAAACAGAATTGAGGATTTCAATGTTGGACGACGTGTCATACAATAATAACATAAAACTTGAAATTCAAGTCATATTGTTTTGAAGCTTGTCGTACAATATAAGTGGGAAAAGTAAATTCTTCGAGATAGAAGCAATTTAATGTCGTACTTACATAACAAAATCCATCAAAACTTAATTCCTAGTCAGGACTTAGCCCATTTGATATTGAACCACAAACTCTAGGACAATATTATCCCAAATTCCAATTTCTACAGGTCTTCCATATCTAGAACTAGCAATCTTTCTCCTTCAGACCGTACTATCGCGGATTGTGCATCTGCAAGACAAACACCTAAATACCCCACTTCCACATACTCTCCACCAACTTCTTTCACCCAGAAGCAAGTACCCATCAAAGACCAACAATCAAAGACTCGCCAAATCTCGCCACTTCACAAATTTGCAAAGAAGAAAAAAGAACTAGAATACCAAAAAACAAAAAACAAAAAAGATGTGCGCAAACCACCTGCGCCAACCGCGCAAAAAGTTCGCTTCTCAGCGTTTTGACATGATTCCATCTAATGGAGGACAGGAAAATTTGTATTTGATGCTATTCGACCTGTACTCTGTAATAAAGTTGGAAATCTTACATGTTGGATTTTGCATGCATGAGCTAATTGAACTTATTTCCTGACCTCTAAGAAGAGTGAGCTTGACGCAGATGAGGGGCTTGGCTTTATAGGTATCTTGTTCTTCTCGGTACTTGGTCTCTTTCCAATGCAATAAGAAAGTGATTGAGTCAGGACAGGAGCTGCTGGTGGGGCAAGAACTCTAGGTCTTGGTGAGAGGAAGGCTCTTCTTCCTCTTTGTCACTATAGTAACCCGTATACCTAGCGTTGTTTATTTCCTTCTCGTCAGCATCAGCGTCCTCTCCATAATAGCTTGGCTCTTGTTTGAAGGTTTGAGCTTGGCTTGGCCGAGCTCTAGAACGGGGAGTGGGAGAATCATTCAGCTGCTCGAAAGCTTTAGTTTGGCTTCGTTGCATCCTAATCTAAATTGAGAAGCAAGATAGTGTTCCGTCTTTGGAACACAGATGCCACAAGGAGGCTTTCAAGAACCTTTCATTTGAGGTTTTCATTTAATCTTCATTTACAAAACTTCCCGGCAATGTTCTCTTGTATTTATTTTCGACGGAAGAACAGGCAGAGGCAGACGCAACCTTCCTTCGTGCGAAGATCCATTAAAGAGAAAGCAAGGACATAGATTCACAAATACGGGATATTAAATCATACCCAAAGTCTGAGCATCCGCTGAACTCCATATCCGATGTCATTCAGAAAATAGTACTCCCCTCAGCATCAAGACTACCCTATCCCACTTAAACATGAGCACGAACACAACATCGCAAAGAAATTGCGAACAGCGGATCTTCCCTTTCATCGATATCATAAAATCCCAAAAATCTTCCAGAAGACCAAGAAACGTGCGTGAAAAGCGACATCCACAAAAACAATAAGCATCACTAAACCCCTTCTCTTCGGCTGGAGGCTTCGTCCCATTAAGCAACTTCGCGACAAACAATTTCCGGCTTCAGCACTCTACCAGAAATCCAAATCGAAAGATATCCCGTAGTCCAACGAAGAATTGCAAAAAACCTCAATCCATTAACCACGAACTCCATACAAAATTCCTCACCACAACTAAACCCCGTGAACCTCATTTCCATTCCATCTGCTTTCTCGCTTCCATTCCCGCACCTCGCCTAAACTCATCCCCTCTTCCCCTCCCACAACAAGCCAACCCCACTCCCTTTCAAAAGCCCAAACCAAAAGAGAAAGAAAAAGGAAAAAATATTGCATCAACGAAATAGCACGACTTGGTGTCGATCCAAGGACCTCTGGGTTATGAGCCCAGCGCGCTTCCACTGCGCCATCATGCTTGGGGTTTCGCTTGATTCGATGGCTGGATTTTGCTTATCAAGATTCATACGGACCGTACCTATTTCTGCCGGTTAATTTTCGGGTATCGGGTGTTAGCGTGGGTTTTGGGGATTTTGTTGATTTGGTTTGGGAAGGAAGGGGATCTCTTGGAGATCGAAGGATCTAGCCTGTTTGATAATTGCAATGTCTGAAGAATACTTAGGTAAGTAGGTGTAGGTAAGTTGGTGAGTCTTGATCACGTGTTTCTTGTGTCTTGGAGGGACTTTGTAAGAGTTCTCGATTTGCAGCCAATTTTACTGTTAAGAGATCTTGCCGCTTCTGCTTGGGTAACAAATTTTCATTCCTAAAGCGTCTGGCTTCACGAAATCGCAGTGTAAGTGTTGTATTCGATACCTTGTCTCAATTTCTATATTCAGGAAGCTGTCAAGAGATTACAAAATCTGGTTCAGAAACCTCAAGTCCTTATCAGACAGGCGCTTAACCCCATTCTCGAGTAGTAGCTTGCTCATCTCATCGTCTTTTCTCTTGTAGGCCTCGTACAGTGGTGTCCTTCCATACTTATTAGCCAAATTTACATTGGCACCTGCTTCGAGCAACAGCTTGGCAATTTCAATATATCCTTCCCAAGAGACCCTTTGCAGTGGTGTCGATCCGAACTTGTCAACCATGTTTACATCGGCACCTGCTTCGAGCAATAGCTTAACAATTTCAATATATCCTTCCTCGGATGCCTGTAGCAATGGTGTCCTTCCATACTCATTAGCCAAGTTTACATTGGCACTTGCTTCGAGCAATAGCTTGGTAATTTCAATATGTCCTTCCCAAGAGGCTATTAGCAATGGTGTCCATTCTCTTATATCAGCTATGTTTGCATCAGCACTTGCCTCCAGCAATAGCTTAACAACTTCAATATGTCCTTCCGCAGATGCCGCAAACAGCGGCGTGTCTCGGTCTTGGTAAAATATATCTACAGCAGCTCCTTTCTCTAGCAGCAGCTTGACAACTTCAATGTGCCCGCATATCGAGGCACAACCTAGTGGCGTCTTCTCGTCAATACCACCTTCGTTTACATTGGCCCCATTTTCAAGCAGTAGCTTGATAATCTCAGTCTGCGCTTCTGTTGAGGCTATGAGGAGCGGTGTCCGTTCGTGGTAATCATTACTTATTTTCATATCGGCCCCATTCTCTAGCAACAACTTAATCGCGTATTCAATGCCAAAGGAAGCAGCTAATTGCAGAGCTGTTATTTTCTTCAAGTTACTGAATCCGCCGCGCGATCTGCTGCCAAATAGTACCGCCTGGCTCGCTGCCTCTAAATGAGGTTTTCTCTCAAGAAATCTGTTTACTACGGGCATGGATGTGGAATGCGCTCGAGCATGATGTCCCCAATTGAGTGAAGCATAGTCGTACAGCCTATGTGAACGAAACCGATGCTCCAACTCGTCTTCCGTTTGACAAGATCCGCTCGAGAATTCGTCAAAAGAAAGATATGTGACGCAAGTTGTTGTTATTTCGCTTTGCGCCGCTGGAAACAAAACTGCCTTTGATCGCTCGAAGTATTCTTGTGTTGTGTAGTGAACCAAGCGGATAATACTACTTTCTCCGTCAATCGTTACTAGTCCAGCGCATACTGAGACCATGTCTTCAATTTGTGGCAGGTTTTCTTCGTCGAGTTCAGACTTGCCAACTTCAATTGCAAGCGCACATTGAAGTTCGGTCGTAGTAAGTGGCCTGTTACAAAATGTAATCCAGGATAGGACCGACTTTGCAAGTTCTACAGAGTCGGTATCGGAACTTGTGATCCTCTTCATAGCTTCTTCGTAGGCATAATCGTAAGCTTTTGGTCCAGAGGGCAAGCTTTTCAACACGTCCTTCATCTTCTTGCGCGTCTTTTTAGTGCTGACAGATTCGAAGTGGAGCTGCGCAAGCAAAAACCTGTATAGATGTCAACGAATTGAGCTGGCGCTTTAGTAAGATAGCAACCCACATTCCATCAACTACCTTTGTAATCTCAGTTATGATTTCTTCACAGTGAGTCTCCAACAATCTATTCCCTGATTGTGATATCCTATTGCTCAAGTACTGTCGTACATCCTCGGTGTGGGCACGAATTTCACATATTATACTCCCTTGAAAGCTCTCAGTGATCTCTAGAATATGCCTCGAAGTCACGAAGAGATTCGCTCTAGTCGTGGTCTGGAGGCGGAGAAGTTCGTTCAAAAATGTCTTTCTGGAGCCATCGGATATTTGGCACTCGTCAAGTGCATCAACTGCGATCATGACTCTCGAAAATATGTTGATAACAGAGTGGAGAGTGCTGGTAATTTCCTCAAGGGATGGTCGCGTGCGTGTTTGGATGTGCTTGTTGTACAGAGATTTTACTCCGTCTGGGAGGTTGAATCGCCTTTGACTTAGCTGTTTCAGGAGACTGGCTAGCAAATCTTGTGCTGTTTGTTCGCTTTTCCGCCGGAAATTGCCGTATAGGTACGCAATGCCGATATCTGAATTGTTCTGAAACCGTGTAGTAAGGTTGTCAATGATCACCGCCGTAAGAATCGTCTTCCCCGCGCCAGGAATGCCTGGACAAAATAGCGTCTGTTGATCGGTTTCTAGCCATGTTTGGAATTCCGTCGAATCAAGAAGCCATTGTCCGGTCCCTGCTTGTCGCCGACTTATAAACTCATTTTGCTGAGTAGCGTAATCAATAGGGGTAAGCCAGTCAAGAATAGCCTGGTCTTCCTGACTTTCTTGGTGCCGTACTAACTTCGTCATAGTTTTTCGGGTAAGTCGACTATTGAAAGCGTTTAGTAAACCGATGTGTGTGCTAAGACGGCTCCGAATTTCATCGATGTCGTCTTGTTTCCAGTTGAGTTTCTTCCAGACTCTTTTGATCTTCTTTCCAACACTCCCATTTCCACTCTCTGAAGCGAGCTCGCTATTCTTCTCGATTATTCGTTGTAACTCCTCAAGAATATTTTGGCAGCCTCTATCAATTTCTTCCAAGTCTTTCTTTTGATCATCGCTGAGCCTTTGCCCCTGCTCTGGAAAGGCAATATCTGCATCTTGAAGGACGATTGAGAGACTTCTGACTCTGTTGAAAGTAAGAATTAGCAGGGAACAAACTAGCATTTGATTGACTCACTCGTCCGTGACAGCCTTGAACTGGCCCGGTGCGTTCGTAAACCCCTTCCGAATCTTGTTCGTAAGTTCGATCGCTGCGATGAAGTCGCCGACACTGAACCCGAAGCTCATCGTGATATCGTGGACGACTCTGTATTGACAGATTGATAGCTTGCGTTGGAAGGCAGCATGATGAGAGAATAGAAGAACGTGGCGAGAAAAAAGAGTGAGGCACATCAGCGCTCAGCCTCACCAGGCAGAATTGGGTCCCAACCTCTTTCGTGTTAGGTCGGGCTCGACGAGCGCACTCGAGATAAACTTTGCAGCAGATGTGTTTGGATGGAGGATGATAAGAAGTGATAATGTTTGTGCTTGGTCAATAGAGAGTCTCAAATACTCTTTCGTAGTGTGACACTGGAGAGCGACTTCCTGTTTTGGTTTACTGGGAGAAGCCTTCTCCCTAGTAAGAGCGATAGTCAAGCTGGACAAACGAATAATATAAGTTTCGGTTTTCTGAATTCTTCTAGTGTTTCTATTATAGTTAGATGAAGAACCGATGTAGTCTAGCTCTAGCTCGTGGGGTAGAGGGGTCTCTGTTACCGCTCTCCTTGACTCGACTTGTAGGCTTCACAGCCTCACATTCCCGTGCTCTCCCACATCAGCCACGGGCAGTTTCCTGTATGCAGACAAAATATCGTACAGCCATACATCTTCCTTCAACCTCCTAGTAGCTTACTAAGTTCATACCACCTCTCCTCAGCCGAACTGACAATCTCCTTGATCTCCTCCATCCCGACGATCGTGCCTCCAGATTTCGAGATTCCCAACAGCTTTGTCTTGCGCCAAGTACAATCAACAGTCACTGTGACCGTCTCATCGCAGAGCCCCTCCTCGAAGGTATCCGGATCAATCAGTATCCAACTCTTCCCCTCTCTTCCCTTCAACTGATCCTTTCTGAACACCAACGCTGTGACTGCAACCGGACATCCCTTCAACGTCAATTTCCTCGCCTTCTCCACTTCGTCCTCACAAACAATCACCTCTCGTTCCGGATCCCAGGTCGCCTTCGGTAGCTTCACATCACGCAGCGCCGACACGACTGCCGCCCAAGCTGCATCAAATGGATTACCATCCAATGAAATGAACAGTATATCAATATACAGCGTCCACCAGGCCTTTATCTCGGGTTCCATCTCTTCTGACTCTTCATCATCATCATCCATCTTATCTCCTTCACTCAAATCAGGAGGTTGATACCAAATCCTCAAATCCTCACTCTCAACCATGCGACTCGTATGCAGTAGCGAATAAATCCTCGTACTCAGACTTTGTGCCAGAACACTTGGAGGTTGGCCTGGCATGTAGGAAGGATTACATCCCGTCGCTAACTCAATGTTTGGGACCAATAAATCTAGTTCTTTAGCTTCGTTGTAGCCTGGTCTTGCAGAGGGCGCCGTGGTAGCTTTGTCGGAACGGTAATTTGGAACATTGCTTGCTAAGAGCAGTTCGCCGCGGATACCGCATACAACAGTGGTGTCTCCGACTCGAACAACGGCGCTGCCTTCTGCGTGTGTGAGAGAGCCATTGTTGATGTGTGGTGTGCGGAACTGATTTGGTGTTCGACCGTTTGCGCGTGTACTTGATACATTCTTCGCCGAAGGCTGTAGGTTCGCAAGGAGGTAGGGGTGAGGAGAGAGTTTAGCGAAGGTTTCTCGAGGGAAAGACAAAGAGGATTGAGGGGTCGCGGTTGCCATGGTTGTTCCTCTGGGTGTTGAGGTTGACAAGGCAAAATTATTTGATGAAGTTCGCGACTTTCTGAGCGGGAGCTAAACTCGGCTCTATCCGAGGGAAAAAGAAGGCCAATGAGAGAGGGGCGGGCGGGTGCAAGGCTCAGATCCTCTTGAACATGAGGCTGCGACAAGTGCACAAACGAATGTCAGACATCGTTGTGGTGAGACTTCTCATCTCCTCATTCCATCCTTTTTCTGGTTCTTGTGTTCACCGTTATCAAGAAGCGTTGTCAACGTGTTTATGCGGTCTCACTTTACTTGTTTTCCCTCGTTCTCGGCAGAACGCTGGTTTCAAGTGACACCAGTGACTTCGTTCTATGCAGATATACGCCCAGTGGCTGAGATCCTGTATGCAGCGTTGACCTCGTTCTTCGTCCGTTCTATCAGACCGTGATGTGGGCTATCAAAAGGCCACGACGGATGAGGTCTGACCTCCTCATGTGAAGAGAAACCTCGCTTCGACGTCGCTGTCTGCATCTAGCCCATTTTGTTCAATCTCAAATCAAATGGCGCTTCTGGAGATTAGATTGCCAATGCGATCTCAAAAGCAATAGCGATCATACAGATCGGGTAGCCACCCGAGGGAGATCCTCTAAAGGAGAGTCGTCAGCTCCTTAAAGATGTTCTTAATGTTCCAGAACGGGAACACCAGCGTTAAGAATCATTTTATCTGTTTTGCGATCTGTGTGCTATGCTCTGTGTGTGTGATGTTGAAGTTATCCCATGTGGCACATCATTGGCCGTTCTCACCGCCCCGGGACACCAACTCGTGGTTGGATGGGACGGACCACGGGCCGCAGAGCGAAAGGTGCTGCAGGGACATCAAGCGAGGGCATTGACCAATGATCGACAGCCACTTACCGCCCATCCTGCAGGCAAGAAAGCAGCACTCACACCTTCGCGGCCCCGCATTGGTTCGACTCCTGGTCTTCATCACAGCAAAGAAGAGGCGCTTGAACCTCCCATTCGACGACCTGCATGGAGACGAAATGCCGGCTAGACTCTTTTGCATGTTAGCTACGGCATCATTTCACCAATAACAGACCACGGCCATGTACGTTTACGAGTACACGAGCTCTCCTCTCTCAAGTGCAGAAAACTTCTCCCTCGAGATCCAATCTGTGTTCATACCATCCACAGCTGCCTCCTCTTTCTGCATCTCTGTATCTTCGCTGCATCTTTGCTGCATCTTCCAAGTACAGTAAGCAGAGTCCGATCCTCTCTCGAACAAGAGCTCGTCCCAGTACCAAATCCATTACCAATCTTTGATGCACGTCTTGGACTTCCTCACATCCTGTGACTTGCATGCACGATAACGGCAGGTACATTGCTAGCGCTTCGATAAGACAAGCATTGAAGTTGGGGTCCAGGAGAGAGACCAATATAGAGTCGTCCTCAACCGCCGAACCTCCCCCCATTACCACGTTCTCCGGCTGCCAAAAGCAACGTCCACAGTTCATCCAACTGCACTGACTGGCCTATTGCTGTCTTTGATCACCTCGGGCATGCCATTTTCCACTTCAAGTCGGAAGCAATAGACCCAGCGGTTGGGGTGACAGCCTGACCTCCACCTGCAGGAACTTGGTCTATCAAGGTTGTACAACGACGACCCGGCCGCCATTCCCCACACCGATTCCGCCGAACTACATATTCAACCATCACCGCTTTATCCGTGTGCGACCCCCTCTTGTCCCTATTGCTTGCGCTGCTACCCCTTCGACTTCTTTTCTCTTATGACATCCTCTTGTCGACTTTCGCTAGCTACTACACTGTATTAATTGGGGAGTCTGGTATTCCTCGGACCTGTTCTGCCCTGATCGCATATTTCATTGGATTATTTCGAGCGCATTTTGCATACCATTGGCGAATCACCAACATAGACTGGCCAGCGTTTAATGGCAGGAAACATTTGATACAGCATATACCCGAGCGTACCGAATATACTTATCTCAGGTAGGAAACTCTGGTGTGGGTCGGCAAATGTTGTTCTGTAAGCTGACTTACTGTCAGACTCCTCGGCTCCTGCAAATCTTACCCTGGACCCCAACCTTTACTTCAGATAGAGGATTCTGCGACCGGCCATCAACGGCGATGATGTCGACGACATTGCAAGAGAGAGCTGCGGCGGGGGCTGGTACCCGAACGTTCGCAGAGCTTGCGAAACGAATAAACATTCCTCTCACAGCAACAAGTCCGCCGGGACTCGTCGAGGCCGACACGGTTGACCCATTCTCGCAAGCTGGAAAGTATGCTCTGGGATGGACATACTTTTGCATCATCCTATTAGTGCTGGTAGCGGTGACGAGGGGTTACCACTTCTGGACGGACAAGTTACGGCAAGCCATGCACAAGACGGAAGTCGAGTCTCACATAGCCAGCTACTCACCAGATATGGATTATGCGATGGAGAACATGGGCACAGGAGGAACAGTTGATCAATTCTTTCCGCGAGAGACCGAGAAGAGTATTCTTACTCGAGGACAGTCGCATTGGTCGTCAATAGGATTCGTCAACGATACGCTGGCGTTATTCAGATGGATTTTCTATCGACCTGTTCCGGAGATCAAGTGGAAGAAGAGGACTATTCTCAGCTTCCCCTCACTTGCTGTCATCGCCATTCTCACCATTGCGTTGGCATTTGTGACCTTGTACTGCTTCTTGCCTCAACCGCTGTACTGGCAAAGCATTCAATATGGATCGCCACCATTGGCCATTCGAGCTGGAATGATTTCGATTGCTATGACTCCTTGGATTGTGGCTACGAGCATGAAGGCCAATCTCATCTCTATGATTACGGGTATCGGACATGATCGACTTGGAGTCTTTCATCGATGGGGCGGATATCTGTGCTTGTTCCTGGCGCTGGTTCACATGATTCCATTCTACATTCAACCAGTCTGGGATGATGGCGGAATGACGGTGTTCTACAAGCTCTTTCCACCTGGCAGCGGTATCATCTACGGATCTGGCATCGCCTGTTTCGTTCCACTGTGCTGGCTCTGTGTAGGATCGCTGCCCTTGGTGCGATCACTTGCTTACGAACTCTTCATCATGCTTCACATCCCGGTCGCTGTTGTTTATGTCGGTATGCTGTTTTGGCATTGCCATAACTATCTCACCTCCTGGAATTACTTGTGGGCAACAGTCGCGATCTGGGTTCTGTCCTATTTCTTGAGAATCTTCAACTTGAACTGGTTGAAGCCATGGAGGAACGCCTGGCTCATTGGAGACGAGGCTGCCGTTACCTTGATGGCCGAAAACGCAATCAAAGTCACAATCCCGACTCAGATGACATGGAGGCCAGGGCAGTATGTCTACCTTAGAATGCCAGGCATCTCCGTCTTCGAGAACCATCCCTTCACAATTTCGTCACTCTGCAGCGAAGATTTCCCATCGGAATACGGCGACCTTTACAGAGATTGCACTTTGGTATTTCGACCATTCGGAGGTTTCACCAAGAGAGTGCTCGAGACTGCAATCGAGAAAGGGCCTTTCAAGACATACCGCGCATACCTCGAAGGACCTTATGGTGGCATGCAGCGAGAATTGGCAGCTTTCGAAACTGTGATCTTGTTTGCAGGAGGAAGTGGTATCACTGCCATCGTTTCCCAACTTTTAAATCTTATCAAGAGAATGAGAGATGGAAAGGCTGTGACGAAAAAGATCGAAGTAGTCTGGGCTTTGAAGAGGCTAGAAGCCATGGATTGGTTCAGAGAAGAACTGAGGATCTGCAGAGAATATGCGCCTCCTGATACTGTCACGTGTCAATTCTATGTCACAGCATCGAAGAGACAGACGAAGATGGGAATGAGTGAAAGGGCACCGAGACCCATCAGCAACATTTTCCATGACAAGCTAGATGGCTTTGTGGCAGGCATTGCCTCGAAACGCAACTCGGCTTTCATCCGGGACGAGGCACAAGGAGATGAAGATCAGGAGAGGGAACTCAGGGAAGAGGACCAAGATGCCATCACATCATTGCCTCGACCAAAGCATTTGCAACCCAGAGTCCTCCCTCCTCCACCTCCACAAACATCGTTCCCTCCACCACCAACAAAAGCTCACCGAGAAAACTCACTCAAGAAGCTCGAGGGACGAGATACGAAGCAAACTCCAACTTCGGCAGATCACGAAGCAACTCACCGCTTTCTCTCACCTATTACTTCAATCTCCAAGAAGAGAGAATCAGGCAGAGAATTCCATTTTCCACCACCCTCACCACGCCACGATGCACCTCATTTCCAATTCGCCCCTCCCTCACCTCGACACTCCTACAACCCTCAAAACTGGCCACCACCACCTCCCGGTCCACCACCACCAAATGCCTACAGACCATCAAGCTACGACCCGTCGGTATCAGGAGACAGCAAATCACCCTCTCCCAACCCATACTCACCATCCAACAACCCCTCACCAACCCCCTACTCACCAGAACAAAACGAATTCGCCCCCCAACACCAAACCTTCGCCCAACCACCCACCATCGCATCACCACCCCAACCCTCCCCCTCAACCTTCAAAACCTCACCAACGCACCCAGAACCTGCGCACCTCCACACGCGCCAAAAGTCCGCCGACCTCCAGATCACCATCCCGACCACCACCGCAACCAACACCTTCGACTTCGGCTTCCCGTCCACACCCACCGAGTTCCAGAAGAACCTCATGCGCTTCGCCTTCGTGGGCGCCAAGAAGAAAGAAGGTTGGTCCACGGAGTACGGACGTCCTGATCTGGGCTACATGCTGAAGGAGATGGCGACGGGTGGAGCGGACGGCAAGGGAATCTTTGGGAGAAGGACGTGTGTGTTTGTGTGTGGGCCGCCGAGTATGCGGGTCGATGTTGCGAATACGGTGGCGAGGCTGCAGGCGGATATTTGGGGCGATGAGAGTAAGGATGAGATTTTCTTGCATACGGAGAATTATGCTATTTAGGTTTGAGGGTTGGAGAGGGGAGAGAGTGAGGAGTGTAATTATTGGTGCGGTTGATGGCGTTTTGGGTACGGAAGGGAAGGGCGATACCACATCATACTACTACTGTAATTTATTAGCTTAGCGAGGAATGTGAATATTCTCCATACAACTCTTGTCTCGGCGCTTTTCCATGTTGAGAGGTATTACGACTTTCTGCTTTGCAGTTATGTACTAAGAGGGATGTGTTCGAGTCATGCTATGTTGCGGTATATGCTAGTCAAATTCGAGATGAGAATTAAGGCATATAGTCGAGAAGACTCTCTTGTCGAGTTTTGCTGGGAATGGAGGTTCCAGGCGTTCGGCTCGCTGTCTTGGCGAAGAGGTAGTCTACGTCTTCTATTACTACTCTTCCAGTCCTACAAGGCTATGAATACACTCACAATGTACCCCCTGATCATTTGTTGCTTTGCCACAAAGATGGAGACATACTGCTTTGATTTGAACGGGCGTGCGCCTACAAAATTTGTGCGAGACATTTTTAATAAATAAAGTTCCACAGCAAAGCGAACATTCAAAGCGGGATAAGATCTCTCCTCTTCAAGTTCCATCATAATAACCAAATGTCAAGAAATTAAAATATGATCATGGTACACTGTACTTAAGAGTAATAGAAAATGCATCAAAAAGTACCGAATTGTCCTCTATGATTTTCACTGTCAAAGCATCGCAAATTTTCCCTACGATAGCCTAAATAACGCCACCCCGCAATCGCTCCTGTAAATGCCCTCAAATGACAATTCCACCCATCAAATCACTCCCTCTAACTCTACTTCTCGTCCCTTCCTAATCCTCAATAAACGTGACCTTCTCGCCCTTCGAGTTCCAACCTTGCATCGATCCATGCTCATCTCTCTTCTCAGAAACCGCAACCGCACAGCAACTGTAGAATGGCTAAGCAACACATCCATCATTAGCTTCCTTACTCTCTTTCAGCTTTGACTAGAGTGGGAGAACATACGAAATCGAAGCAGTCAAAATCCGCACACGAAACTGCATTGCAGAGACCGCAGCCGCTAGTGCAGCAGTATTGCTCGACGATGGTGATTTGGCGGGAGCGGAGAGCGGCGGCGGGGATGGGTTCGGCGGAGATGAGGGGGGTGAGGGAGGTGAGAGCTAGGAAGATGAGGGTGAGGAGAAGCATTGTTGGGGGTTGGTTAGGTAGTCAGTTAGTGTAGATAAAGTTGAGTTGTTGTATTGGTGGAAGTTGGGTTCAGGATTGTAGTTAAGAAGAAGAGGGAGGGGGAACAGTTGGGGGCTTTTATATCTGAGGACCGCTAAAGAAGAAGCGTAGCTAAGGGTTTGAATATAGAAAGGGCGTATAGGCGTGAAGCAGAGCTAGAGACTTGTGGTTGAGGTCGGTGAATAAGGAAAGCTGCTGGTGTCCGAGCAAACACGGTTAGCACAAGGAATATGAACAGTACCTACCTGATTACCTGATCTAAGTTAACGAGTAGTCAAAGGGCACGATTGGGAGACAGAGAATATCCCGGTCGCCATTAATCGATGTTCTTGGACCACCTATTCAAGCCGTAGGGGATGCTTCTTCAGGATGGCAAATGTAAAGAACCACTTAGCTCAGATCAATGGACAGGCCACACAGCTTTCTGCCTTACTTGCTGGAAGCAAAGAAAAGGGTATACTTTGATGTAAACTGGTCGTGACATTGTCCGTTTGCCTATGGAACGATCTGAAGATACTTAAGTGGTTTAGATAGCACGTGATGCTACCTCCTTCATCCCTCAAAGTCTCTTACAGAGGGAAGAGACGATAGCTCTACCGTGGTCGTCAATAACTATCGACGGCGGTAGACGCCATAAGATGAAGCCATTCAACTTGGGGTTTTGATCAAGCACGATTCAAGGTTCTGTTTTCCAAAAGATTCACGTTTAGTGATGAGCCGATCTGTTTGCAACCTCAACTTCAACTACATGGACTCCAATCCCTCAACGCACAGCCAATCGCTTGAGGAGCGGCCGCAACGACCAAAAAACAGTCAAGAGAGAACTCGGGGAAACACGGATATTGATGGCAATGCACAAAGCTATCAGCTGCATCAGCCTACATCACACAGCACTCGCTCAACATCAGATTGCCAATGGCAGTTGATCAACACCCCGACTTTCGAGGAAAACGTGTCGACATTCGACGATAGCAAGAACATTTCGTTCGACTGTTTCAATGAAGAAGATTGTGAGAATATTTGACAACGGCAGTGCATTAAAGAAAACTTGGAAAAAAAATTACAAAAAAAATGTCTCTGTCAAGTTCCTGCTGTGTGAGTGGGAGGAAGAGGATGTGCTTACCGGACCAGCCGACAGGGCCCCGGATAGTGGGAAGGATACAGAAGGGCGGACATGTGTCCAGGACGATCTGAACAGGATCAAGGATCCTTTATACTTATGATGTTAGCTTAAGTTGCCTGAGATCTTAGGTAGAGGTACTTACTGGTGAATTTTGATAAAGAAGGAGAATGAATCATAACAGAACTCTACAGACATGGCTGCTGCTTTGCTCTCGTGGAATTTCCCCTCGAGGTAATCCGCGAATCCCTGCGGGTCTCGTCTCAATTGGTCTAAGTTCTCCGGGGTCTGGCTGGCTCCAGACCCCGGAGAGACATCCGGAATGTCCGGAATGTCCCAGTGGCCTTGGAGGGAATGCTGGTAAATGTTAGTGAAATGTTACACGATGCTTCGGGATGGGCAATACATACGAAATTACAATGATTAATAACAGTGGGGCGGGGGCACCCTATCTATTGAGAATGTTAGTATTAAAATCATTCACCTTTTTGATGAACTAGCAAAGAACTTGACAGAGGTAGTTAGGGGATAATTGTTTATCGAACCTTATACAAAGGATAAACGTCCGTGCGTAATTTCGTGTTTATGTCTCCGGTTCAGCATAGGCCGGACGGACCTGTGGTAATCAACACCATTTCTTGCCCCAAACTTTTTAGCCAAAAAAAAAAAAGAAAAGTATATAAAATCGCTTAATCTATTTTGTGTGCCGAATCTTCGTTAGCTAATTATTTCAATAGCCGACGAGTATGGAGGTATATACTTACTGCTAACAAGAATACCCGGTGTCTTCACCCTCGAAGCAAATAGTTTTGGAGCGCAAAGACTTGATGTTGTGCCTACACCTCTGACCAAGTAGATGTAGCAAGCATTCAAGACACAAACATATAGAGTTTAAACAGGTTCAAAGGAAGAGGCAGTAGAGACTGGAGATATATGACATAAAAACAGAGGGACGGAGTGTACGCAAGCAACAAGTACAAAAGACAATGCACAGGGCTCAGGGCTCAGTATCAGCACAAGTAATATGATTATGGCATGTCGGTTGGTGCCCATGCCGTAATCGTCATGGCTTTAGGGAATTGTCTCTGCATCCTTACCTAGCTAGGCATACTTCGAGACAGGCATGCTGAGGATGTCAGTCACGATTTGAGAGGTCAAACATCGTTTCCTGGGGAGCTTTAAGAATATTAGGCAATTGCGGAATCTTGTTATCGAAGGCATCACGGGCGCTCTCGAAATCTCGGATTTGATCCTGGCTGCTATTATGATCGATGATATCGATGCAGCTTATTCCTTGGTGTAGGATCTAAATTTCTGCTCGAGACCCTGCTTCACACCAGCCCAGATGAGAAGGTGGATCTAGCAAGCACAATCTACTTTAATTCAGCATACGAAGCTTCTCTTGACTATTTGTACCATCCATTACGAACCGCTTCCTTCAGATCAAAGATTCCAGAGCAGTAGATACAGGACGCAGATTTGGTCTGCCATCCAACAGCGAGGAGCCTAATGAAAGGTTCCTCATCACACACAATCCTCTGTGGTAAGGCAGAATTGTTGACGTGAGTCGGGTGGATGAAGAACCAAGAGAAATGTTCGTTCGAGGAAAATTTGAGGTTGTGGTTCGCTGGAAGCGTTACCCGATATGGACTAGCTCGGAGCTAGATACTTAATCCACACTTTTCTTTGCGTCCCGAACGGAACCAAGAATTTCTTCTGATATTGTCACAGAAGCCTCCGCATGGAATCTTTGAACGAAACACTGTGGGATGTAGTGATCTCAGGAACGGGACTGAAGCATTCGCTACTTGCGCTGTGAGCATTCATCTTGCCTGCGAAGTCTTGATCAAGTCTGACTGACCTAGTGCTTGAAGAGCTCTGTCCCGCTCCAACAAAAAGATCCTCCATGTCGACCAGAATGAATATTACGGCGATGCCGAAGCTGCTTTCAGCTTGCAGGAAGTGGACGAATGGGTAGAGAGGGTGAACGCAGGTATGATGCGCTCAACAGGCTTAGGTTATCGCTGATTTCGTTTTAGTATCTCCGAGCAATTTTCGAAACGCTTCACTTTGGAAGACGACCACCTCTAACGAGTCCGACAAGCTTTCCTTCTCGAGAGCATATACCCTCACTCTGTCTCCGCAGATCATATATACTAGGTCGAAGCTTCTTTCGCAGCTCGTTTCCTCGAAGGTATACCGGCAGCTCGAGTTTCAGGCAGTCGGAAATTGGTGGATTCTTGGCGAACATTCTCTAAACCGCTTGCCTAATGGCCGAGAGGATATCTTCCGGGACAAATCCATCGACAACCGAGCGAAAAGGGGCCTGATGAAGTTCTTGAAGTTTGTCGTCGACTATGAGAACCAAAACGAGCTATGGCAACCCCAAGCTGACAGCGGGCTGGCCGGATTCTTGTCTTCACATTTTCAACTGCCTCCAAATCTTCAGAATGTCATTTGCGCCTTGACACTGTCTTTAGATGCGCCAGAATCGACCAAGGTTAGCTGGTCTCTACCCAGGATAGCTCGGCATCTAACTTCTATTGGAGTCTTCGGACCTGGCTTTGGAGCTGTTGTACCAAAGTGGGGAGGAGGCGCTGAGATTTCGCAAGTTGCTTGTCGAGCTGGCGCTGTGGGTGGAGGCATCTACGTACTTGGAATCGGTGTCAAAGAGTCGAATACATCATCGGAAGAAGCTGGCAACATTACGCATGTCCACCTCTCAAATGAGGATGTTGTGAAGACTAGACATCTCATACAATATCCGGCGGCTCGATCTACCGATGCCAAAGCAGTGTCTAAGGTTATTGCTATTGTCTCGTCATCCTTAACGACTTTGTTCAAGAACTCCGTCGAAGGTTCCCCTCTCGCTGCTGTCTCAGTCATCGTCCTACCTGTTAGCACCGTTATCGTGGAGGAAGCATCTCAAGCCACGCCAATCTACATCATGGCGCACTCGAACGAAACAGGCGAATGCCCTGCTGGACAATGTTAGTACACCATCTTCTTCTACTCTCCGTCCTGCATTATATGATGATTCAACTTTTAATACTTATCTACATTGTCTGAATTTTCTTGAAGATAACTACCTCTGACAGTCTGAAAACGCTTCCAATCTATGTCCATTCATTTTGATCTAGCTTCAATGACTATAGCTGACCGCATAACCAGGTGTTCTCTACGCTACTATGCTTTACTCTGAGCATAGTAAGCAGCTTCTAGACGCTGCTCTCGATGTTTTCCTAGCCAGAGTAGAAGACACGCCGGAATTGCTTTACAAACTATATTACGAACAAGAACCGGAAGAAGAGAATGAAGCCCAGACCGAATCACTGGATCCATCACTCGACCTTGCATTCAATGATGCAATCCTCGAGGATGTCGAATCTCTATGGAAGACTGTCATAGGCGACGAAGCAGAACAGGCGAGATTCATGAGATTCGAGGACAGGGAAGGCATGAGCGCTGACGATGACGAACTTGATGAAGGATACTGATGCGATATGGGTCATGGCAGGTGGGAGTCTGGTGTTTTTGTGGAGATCTTGTGCAAATCGTGGCTCTTGGTTTCGTTTCTGCACACATACCAATGTCATAATTATGTTCCCAATCCGCTACTCCGATGACTTTGCGTTCGTGATCATTAAATTACTCTTGATTCGGAATCTTTGGAGAGCGTTTATTCATGTCCGCCTTTCTGACCTTACACTCTTCCCCGAGAAGCTTTCGTCGGCAGCCTAAGCCAAAGAGAGACATGATTCCCTCTCTCATCTATTGATCTGTGGTACTACTATAATCGAAACTTCCCATTCAGCATTCATAGCCAAGAGTTCCTGGAATCTATCAAACCCAAGCCTCTCTACATAGCATAGACCTAGGTAGTTTTTCAACCCAAGTTTTAGAGCGTGCATTCACATTACCAGTGGACGAAATTCCGAGCTTCAGCTCAGGGTTTCGAATCCCCAATCCTGGAAATGCATAGCTGTGTACTAGTGATTATGTTTGAGCAAATACGGGCAGAACAGTTGGTATTATCTTATTATTTGGTTGATTTGCTTAGTAACGTTGATGTTTTGCTTTCCCGTGATGGTTTCAGGGGTATTCGCGCGATTCGCGCCATTTGCGCAAGTTGCGAATGATTTGTAAAAGGTCTCAGAACCTGATTTTGAAAAGGCACGAGGGTTTTCAGATCTTCACCTCTCACATAAGACACATTTAAGTTAATTTCTCTCATTCATCTCTACTCCAACCTTCAGCTATCACTACCCTGTCTCCAACGTACCAGACAGGCAACACTACATGGACACTTATCCTATCCATTAAGATCCAATCTCAACGCCATACACCAACACGCCACTACTCCTCTCAAAAAGAGAAGAAGCACCATCACCGAAAACCATGGCTTCCTTTGCTTTGCTCCGCTCATGCGTGACTTAAGACAAAACCCACACAGACCACTCCATGCAATGCTAACAAAAGAAAATCCTACTCGCTGCAGGTAATGTCGAATGCTTCTACCTCCCATGTGCTCATGCCTTTCCTTCCCTTTCCCAATCTATCGTGGTACCTTTTCTCGTTTTGCGTAGCTCGCATTATGTCTCGTTTACCGTCTCAACGGTGCTCGACTTCTCACCAGGAATGGACTTGGCATTTCGTCCCTTTCAGGGTCCCATACTGGTGGCTCGCCTCTATCTGCTGCTGCTTTCTCAGCCATTCTCGCAGCGAATGCTCGGCCCTTTGGTTCTGGACTCCTGTTTCCATCAACTTCGATCGGTCGTCCCCCGGCTCTAGCTTGTGCAAGTTCGACAAGCGTCCGCCCTTTGGGAGCAAGATTGTTTGCGTTAGTGGCCTTGATGGCCATATTATTCTTGGTAGCCAGTTTGTTGAGGTCTTCTGAACCATTAACATTCTTGCCTTTGGTGAGGCTAGTTTTCCGTGTCGGCGAGAGGGGTACATTCTCGTGCGATATGAGATTCGTGGATGATGGGATTTTGGACAGACGTCTATTGGGCGACGAGCTGCGTTCCTTCAGTGCCGCATTACTCGTTTGCGGTCGCAAGTCAGGGGCACTTGACAGCGTGGGTAGCGTCGGTGCCGTGTTTGCTTTAGCAGCTGTAAACAAAGCTGGTTGTGATGGTTGCTTATGAACTGGTGCCGTTTTCTGCGAAATTAGTGGTGGTCGGACTCCATTTGACTTGAATGGGTTCTTCGAAGACTTCTGTCGAGTTGGCGATGGCACTGGAGGTAGGTCGTCGTCGTCTGAATCGTCCGAGTTCATGAGCGTTGGTTGCCAGCGAGCTTCTGCTGCTGCGCCCGCTGCTGCAGCGAAGATATTGCGGCCCGTGCTAGGAGCCTTGGTGGCACCATTTCGGCGGGGTGATAGCGAAAGAGAAGCAATTGATATCGGTGATGGTTCGGCCATCTCGATGTCCATTGGTGTGCCAGCAAACATGGTTTGCGCTCGACCGAATGGAGTTCGAGTGCTTTTCTTGAGGGCTTTTGTAGGCTCTGGCGAATCAAGGGAAAGACTTGTTAGATCAGTTGAAGAAGGGAAGTCATCATCCCCATTCGTGCTGATTGACGTCAATGGGATATCGTTCATGATCATTGACCCCGAACCAGAAAATTCCTTCGCAGAAGAATGACTTTGTGTGCTGGCTCGCTTCTGAACTTCGACATCAACCTTCTCCTTCACTTCATGATCGAACTTCTTCTGAAGTCTTTCAATCTCAACTTGAACAAGGCGATTGATCTCCAATTGAGCCTTGACTTCCCATTCGCGTCGGAGTTGTGACTCAATCTCCTGTCGCATCTGAAGCTTTTCCGCCTCCAGATTTATTATTCTCTCTTCAGCTTCTTGCAATCGCTTGCTGGTAAGCGCCTCCTTATTCTTCACTATTCTCCCAAGCTCCACCACCTCTTTCTCCTTTCGCATCAACTTCACAACAGGAAGATTGAGAAGTGTAGCAGTATCTGGTCGTCGATCAGGATTCACTTTGAGGCAGTCCTTTACGACAGCATTAAGCTCTGGTGAATACACGGTCGGCAAAGCCCCAATCTTGCCTTCCTTGATTTTTTGGACTAGCCCGAAATGTGTCTTCGCATTGAAAGGTGGTTCTCGTGAGCATAGCTCGTAGATAATACACCCCAACGACCATATGTCGGACTTCAAAGTATACCGCTCTCCGGCACATATTTCTGGAGACATATAAAAGGGGGTGCCGACGTAGGTGGATGCGAAATCGTGGGATTGCATGATCTTGGATAGACCAAAGTCTCCAAGTTTGACTGAGTTATCTTCATCAAGAAAGACTACACTGTGTCAGTAAAGGAATGATTTATGATGTTGCATGCTTACCATTCTCGGGCTTCAAGTCTCGATGCAGGATCATGACACCACCTGCTGGTGCTTTAGGCTTCGCTGAATTGCCCAAACCCATAACATTGGCGCCAACTTCCGGGGGGTCGATGCCATAGTGACATCTGTACAGCGCAGTGACCAGTTGAGAGAACATGCTCCACACAAAACCTTCTTCTGCATATTGATTCTTGACTTGGAGATCCTTGATGACACGTCCAAGATCCCCATTGCCACAATATTCCATATATAGATGAAGGTCTTGAGAGGATTTGAGATGTTCTCGGTGGTAGTATCCGACGATGTTTGCGTGTCGGAGCGAGGAAAGAATCGCAAATTCAGCGTGTAGCTGCTCTCTCTCTTTCTGGGACATGCGCAGGTAGTTGATCTCTTTGCGACAGAGGACTTGACCATCTTGCTTCCTGCGCACCTTTCTAATAATACCGAAGGAGCCATGTCCTAAAAGCTGTCAGTTCTTGCGACCAGTGGCGCATCCAGAATACTGACCTATCTTCTCTAAAACCTCGTACTTTTCCTCCGACATAGTTCCTGATCCGTGGGGTCAGGTTGGTGATAAATGTTGATCAGCAAAAGATTGCAAAAGCCAATGCCATGAGCGAATGTCTTTGGCTCGTCCTGTGTTAGTAAAACTGTTGTCGTGTGTCGTCGTTGCTGTTCTTGAACTTTTGATTCAGATGCACAACTCGGTTTCGCGATGTCAACAATGCATTCGGGAGTTGCTCCTGACAACCGAAGGAGGAAGCGGCCGCCCAACCCAGTTTTCCTCCACCCTTCAACCACTCAACAGCTTCAACTCTACCCCTGTCTCAGGTGGCGAATGAATGTTCTAATCGATAAGCAATGAGGGACTCATGGTGGAAATGTCTGTCCGCCTCTCGAGCTCACGCCCTTCAGAATATATTATGGCATACGAAAGAGCTATCGAAACCACTTGAACATATCACGCCTCATCTACGAGTACTTTGTCTTATGGCAGGACATCAACGATTACGGTTACCCTCCCCAGGCATTTCTAGATATTCGAGCAGACGCTGTTGCCGACATGGTACTTCGCAAGGACCAGCTTGAAGTCCAACTGAAGGACGAACATCAACTTATTCGAGACGGAGTCCTGAAAGACGAAAGTCCACTTGATGATAGCCCTGAATTCCACGACCTCTGCAATGCTTGCCGCATCGGAAATTTGAAAGGTTGTCAAGAAGCAATCACTTCTGGAGTCAATATTAACGCAAGAGATTCTTTCGATTATACCCCACTGATATTGGTAAGACCCGCCACCTTTCTTTGACCCTCTTATCCCTCTATCTAGTACGCAAGCTGATTACTTCAGGCAAGTCTTTGTGGGCACTATGAAGTTGTACAGCTTCTACTCGAATCTGGGGCACTCTGCGAGCGAGATACTTTCCAAGGCGAGCGGTGTCTCTACAATGCACTGAACAATCGAATACGAAACCTCCTTCTCGAATACGACTATTCTAAAAGCACCGATCCTCTGCAACCCTTTGCCTCGCACATTACATCTCTGCTTACCCGACAAGAGCCAAAAACATCGGATATATGCTTGACTGCTGGGCCTGAGCAATGGAATTTGCACAAACTCATTCTTTCGGCGCGATCACCATACTTCTCCAATAAGTTCGTCGCTGCTCCCGAGACATCAGTATCAAAGCTTGCTACGTCGATACCTGCGGAAGCTTTTCATATCGCCTTGAGATACCTATACCTAGGTGGAGTTCCGGCAGATTTGGAATTGACCAACACAAGTTCTGTGACTGAAGAAGCTGTTTTCAAAGGATTGGATAAGATCAGCAAACAGCTTGAAATAGATTCGTTATGGCAAAGCATATTATCATCAACTGATAGACGGTTGTCGCGGCAGAGGCAGCAAGATGAAGTTGCCCGAGGACGAATTCAGCTTGAGACGTGGTACAAGACCAATGTTTTGAAGCACAAAGTACATGTGGATAGCAGCAAAGCACAAGAGGTTAAATGGACTCGAGACAACGCAATATTTGCAGATGTATTGCTTCGAGCAGATGTAGAATCACCAGACGAACCAAAATCCGGGCAAGAAACACCGACGGCAAGAAATACACTAGGACCTCTCAATGGAATACCTATTGGTCCATCATCAGCATCAAGATCCCCGTCAGTTGCGAGGAAATCTAAGCAGACAGTTCTCTTTCCGGCTCATAGAGCGATGCTTCTGAGGTCAGAATACTTTCAGGCAATGTTCAAGTCATCTTTCATGGAAGCTCAGGTCACCGAGTATCTTCAGATCGTCAATGTGGATTGCACGCCAGAAGTGTTGGATATCGTTCTCAACTATCTGTATGCGGAGAAGACCGATATTCCCATAGAACTGGCATTAGATGTGCTCTATGTTGCGGATATGCTCTTCATTGAAAAGTTGAAAACAAAAGCCGTTATTGTTCTGAGCACAATCGGGATGGGAACTAGAACTCTTGCGGATCACACACATGTCGAGGCTGGACAAGAGCAAGAAATCGAGGTCGAGCCAATCAACGTCTACGATGTCATCCGTGCCGCTTGGACGTTGAAAGTGCAGCGGTTGGAAACTTTCAGTGCGCGATATCTGGCTTACAGACTCGAGGATTACATCGATGAAGATGACTTCGAAGAATTGATCAAAGAGAGTGCTTCGATGATTCAGAAACGGCAGGAAACTGACAGTATCGAATTGCTTGACGAGTAAGCACTTCATTTAAAGTAGTGGACCTCAGCTAACAATAGCATAGTATTCGATTCTACCTGTCTGAGCGATTTCGTCTACGTTTCGAAGACTCAGGCCTCGACGACCTCATGGATGAGAATGGAGAAATGAACGCCGAGGCAGCCCAAGCCATATCCGAGGGGGCTGAGAGGCTTGACGAGGCTATTGACGTAAAGTCACCACCATCAGATGAGATGAAACAAGTCGATCCAGCTTCGAATCCGTTCCTGAACGGTGAAATCAAAACATTGGATGGAGATATTGCAGGAGACGAGTTCACTGCTGACGCTATTAATTATCAAGTGCTGCTGGGCAAGATCGACAGGCTGCTTGAGAAGTTGAAACTGGACGCGTAGAAAACCAAAGATAGATACAAGAATAGACTGTACAAACAATTCACGTCGAATGGATCCATCCACATGGAAACGGTGCCCCATGGAGCACACTTATGATCTGCGCCTATCGTGTACAAAAATACAAATCTCCACGTTCAGCAAATCACGATGTTTCCAATATGTGCCAGATAGCTGGTCAAGATCGTTCGCCAAGAGAGCAGACTCCAGGACCCACAAGATAAGAAATGCCGCACGTTGCAAGTCGTCAAAAGTTACCTCGAGTCACATCTGACGCTTGGCAACAAGTCTCAATCTTCAAATGCAAATGCCGTACAACGCAGTCGTTGATTCCTTGGTAACTTTTATTTAAGCTTCCCGTAATCACTTTTATCCTCCCGCCTACCACAATGCCGGAGGCCACTCCCGGACATTTGTCAAAAGATCAGACAAATCCACATTCCATGGTGTGTTCCTTAGGGAGTCCATCACACACCTCGAAACATGCAGAATCCCCCATGCCAATGAAATCCTGACTCAAGTGGCGGCAGTTGCCAAGCCTTCCAAACAACAGGACCGGCTCCTCTCTCGACCATACCGCATTGGCATTGATCTCCGACTGTCAAACTGGTGGGAATCAGGGGATTTTGTAAGGAGTAGGACTGTTGCGGAGGAGATTCGCTTGGTCGATCCACCTAGCTCAACCATTCACAACCTCTCGCTTAGCAGCATACCCTGCTCACAGCTCGCTAACCCTTATCCTAATTTTCTCTGTCAGATCGTGTTTCACGTTCCGACAAGACATGTTAGAGCTTGGCTTAGCTTGGCCACCAGACTTGCCAGCAGCCACAACTTGCCCAGCGAAGGGTATTCCTTCTTATCTGATCTTCTTTCTGCGGCTCAAGTGCCTTCATCAGTTAGCATCCGCTGGATGTCAAGCTTCCGGACCCGGCCAAGTTTCAGCAGGCGGCGACGGATGTACTGAGCGTGAATAGCATGTCACTTCTGCCACTGCGAAGTATGTGTTGCGGGTGCCACGGACGCAAAAGGGCTGGGTATGGCTGGTCGAGGCTAATGTTCATCCTTTTTCTATTTGGGAGAAGCCTGAAGAGATCACAGAGCCAAGGGGATGTTCCCATCTTATGCGAATCTGATCATCGGCACGACCTCCTGTCAAAGGAGCAAGTCGGTTTCAGAGTCCCTCAAGAACTCTCTCATATCTTCGCATTCCCCCACACTTTTTCGCCCATTCGCATTCTCTCTTGTCGAAATCTGCTCATTCTCGAAGGGGTCGCATGTCGAATTGCGGCTGACAGCACCCACATCTAACGTTATTCTCCGAACACCCAATGAGCGGTCCCATTCTTTAGATAAAACCACCTCATTCTTTCTCAGTGCGGCTCGATGACGGGCTTCTCCCAATCCAGATCATCAAAATCCTTCATCGGAGGCGCAATCGAAACTGTGGCGTCGCCTTTACGAAATACCTTCAGAGATGGCTGTCGGTCACCAGTCACACCCAGAAGGACAAGACGGCCATCAACACAAGATGGATCATCAACTGGACCTCGCGGACTCTATGTCAATACGGAGCAAGCAAAGTATGGCGCATACTCGAGCTCAACATATCTCACCACACCACATACCTTTTCGATAACATCGCCCGCAAAAAGAGAAGCCTCATCATATCCACCCAAAAATCATTCAGATGACGATGTATCTTCGAGTACAACCCTTGTCTCTGCTTCAAACACACATCATTTCCTCCCGCTCACACCTAATTTCCTGCCGTCAGCCTCAAACGACAAACTCGGGACATTTTCAGCAATAAATGTGATCCTCGGGAAGACGGTCGGGGTAGGCATTTATTCGATCCCCTCCTCCATATTCGAATCCGTCGGCTCGGTCGGCGCCTCAATCTTATTATGGATCGTCGGGTCTCTGATCTCGTTTTGCGGTTTGGCCGTATATCTGGATCTTGGAACGGCCATACCCCGCAGTGGCGGAGAACGTGTGTATCTTGAGCGCATTTTCAAGAAGCCTCGCATGTTGGCGACATGCATGTTCATGTCTTATGTCGTGCTCTTGGGCTTTAGTACGCCGAATTGCATCGTGCTGGGCGAGTATGTCATGTACGCTCTGGAGATCGAGGTCAACAGATGGAATGTCCGTTTGGTGGCTGTCAGTGTCATCACACTGCTGTGTATCATCCACGCTCGGTATAAGAAACTCGGCCTAAGAATCATCAACGTCTTAGGTGTTGGGAAGATGCTTATTCTGGTTGTTGTCATCCTATCTGGAGTTGCTGGCGCATTAATAGGTGTGGGCTCCTCCACATCGCCTCTCACTCGACGACGACTTGGCGGTATTCCCCTGGACGCCATACCTGATCACCATCTCTCGACCGCACAAAGAAATTTTTCGAACCTCTTCGCAGGATCGAGTACCCAGCCATACGACTACGCCACCGCTCTTCTGAAAATTCTCTACTCCTTCAGAGGTTACAGCACAGCCAACCAAGTCCTCTCAGAGGTCCGGAATCCAATCCCGACTCTGAAGCTTGCTGCACCCATCGCTCTCTCCCTCGTCTCACTAGGCTATATCCTAGCCAACATCTCCTACTTCCTGGTTGTTTCGAAAGAAGATTTCAGATCCTCCGGTGTCGTGATCGCAGGACATTTCTTCAAGAACATCTTCGGAGAAGTGATCGGTGAGAATGTGCTCCCGCTATTCATCATCATCTCAGCCTTCGGAAACATCGCCGCTACCTCTTTTGCCCAAGCACGCGTCAACCAAGAACTTGGGAAAGACGGCTTACTCCCTTTCTCCAGCTGGTTCGCGAAGAAGAATCAATGGGATTCTCCCACTCCCGGCCTGTTTCTCCACTGGTTGATCTCGGTCATCGTAATCGTCGTTCCACCTCCAGGAGAAATTTACAACTTCCTGGTTGATATTGGAGGATATCCTGTTTCCGTCATCAGCGTCGCGATCTCGCTTGGACTTTTGTACCTGCAATCCAACCCAGAAGAGAACTGGCAATCTCCGTTCCGCGCAAAGAAGATCTACACCATCGTCTTTGCTGCTTCGAATTGTCTCCTTCTGGTCCTCCCATGGGTAAAACCTAAGACAGAAAGAGGAGATGGTCGCTTTGCATACTACGCCTACCCTTCAACTGCTCTAGCTATCCTTGGTAGTGGAGTCATGTACTGGTGCTGGTGGGCCAAGATCAAGCCCTCCTTGTTCGCAGGAGAGAGCTGGCTTACTGCCAAGCGGGAAAGTGGCAGGAATCGAGGGCACAAGAGAGAAATGAGCAACGAGACATTCCCCATGATGCGATTCGAGAGATACGGAAGTGATGATGGCCAACCCGTCGAAGACGAAAATGAAGAAGAAGACCATGGCTTGTTGAAACAAAGTCCTGGACCAGAGGAGCCAGGTGAGGATGAAGGCGTAAGGAAGCGAGCCCCGTGTGGATGTCCTTTAACACATGGCGCAAAGAAAACTTAATTATAAGGACCTGTATATACATGTAACAAGCCAGTCGGAAAATGGAGTCGAAGTTGGATACATTGACTTGGGAATAAATGGAGGCATAGCGCTGGCGTACATAGATACCAATAAAGTATGAGTTCAACACTTTTTAATAAACTATTTCCTTCGTGCAATTGCTTTGGGAGTCCATGAGAGATGCTGTTCTTTATATCTTCTGTTGAGGTTCAAGCCAAGGACGACGAATTCGGTACCGACAAACATCGATCCCGACTTTTGGATCCTCCTTGTAGTAACATCATCTTGGCAGCAAGTGAAGCCGTGTTTGTAACTTGGCGCCTAGGAACTTGGCGTGACAGATATTTGAGGTTGGAAAACAGGATCTTGGCGCGAACAACTAGCCAATGCCTCCAATAAGTTATAGCTAGCCGAAAGACTTTCTCATTCACCTCCTGAGCTGTGCTGGTCACATGCCATGTCAACCAATTTCCAAACCTGGAAGCCATGGTTTGTCTGTACTACGAAGGAACATTCGAAGAATCTGCTGTTAAAACCGAAAGACAACCATATGGAGAACACATGGTTTACCTAGCAAATTAGCAGGCCAATATCAGATGAGACCTTGTGGTATAAGCAAGTCACCTGACGCGATCGTGATAACTCTGTTATATTCTCTTCATTCAGTACACCTCGATAAGATTATATACTTTCAAATTCTTCACCCTCACGGCTAGTCTGCATTTACCATCGGATCGATATTACAATTATCACGTGATATAACCCTGAGGCATCAATCTGCCCAGGTGGAAGTCAGATTTACAAATCAGGACTGCACAAGTTTTGAGAGTATCATGACTCCATTTTCCACGAAAGCCCAAAGCATCAGGTTTTTGAAGTAGATCTCGGTAAAGCAGATAATCGATTCACGCGCGAATCCTGCCCTTGCAAATCGTCGTCCTTGTCCCAACTCATCCAGCACATCCAACGGTATGGGTTTCGTCAAAATGCCTACTCTGGCAGCACACGTCTCCAGACCTGCCAAAGTTGCACTCACTGTCGCTTTCGTGGCACTCTATCCAGCAATCTGCATCCTTCACGAAGCCTGGGTAATTCAATGTGAACGTAGCTACGGGTATATCCGTACCGAGCCGAAACCTCGCCCGATAACCTCCAGATGGCGGCGGCGGCGAGCTCTTACCAACAGAGACGTAAAGCCCCCTGGTGACTGTTCACTATTAGCATTACCACGAGAGGTGAGAGATGAGATCTGGCGACACGTGATTGGGGAGCCAAAGGTGCATGCTTGGATTTCAGCTGTAGACAGCTCTAGAGGGCTAGAAGGGGCGAGATGTGGAGAGGTGTGTCAGCATTGTTCGTGGCACTCAGTAGGATACTCGACCGCGAGCACGGATAAAGCTTCTGATCCCACGTTTGGTGTCATGGGATGTCTGTTAAGTTGCGCCCAAACGTAGATCTTGTACCCTCCCCCTCGATTGAATACTCTGACAAAAGGAAACAGATATTCAGAAGCCATTAAATTGTTGTACTCCATGCCATCATTCGACTTCGCAAATGGCTCCAAAATTGCATACTTGCCCCGAGTGCTTCTTCAACAACGAATCAACCTCATTCGAACCCTAAACGTGACTTGGAGATTGGAGGATCCTCCATCACTACCCTCTCCACCACGACGATCTAGTGACCCAGACAAAATGGAGAAGGCAAAGCAAAAGAATCATCACTATCGCGAGACTTGGGTTGCCGTCTGGCAAAATCTGGCCGCTATGGAGGGACTTGTTGACTTGAAGGTGGAACTGAAAATCGGATCGAGGAAGAGAAGACATATTCGACACACGCGGTCGCACCTATGGAACGCGAGTGACCTCGAAATTGCGAAGACAGTGACGAGGCCGCGGAACTTCCAGCTCATTCTGCCTGCTGAGTTGGAGAACAGGGTAAGAGAGGATGTAACTGCACCGAATCTGAGACTTGTGCCATCACTCAATGCAAGAGGTCGATTCTGAATTCGATGTCTTCAGGGTCTTAAGATAGTAACTACTATCACTGAAGACTCGAATTCCCTGTACCCGCTAGACAATCTCCTGGCAGTATGTCAGATCCGCTGCTCATGTTCCCATCTTCTCTATAGCGAAGAAACTCACAGCGCTTGCCCTTTGTCTCCTTGGATTCAATCCCTTGATGGAACATCCTTGCTGCGATCGAACTTTCCACTACTCCATCACTGTTCTTCACGTGGGACAACGCCAAGTGGTATGGAAGCTGTGGTGGTTGCCGCTCACCTGCTGGTGGTCGAGACCGGCAAGACAAAGATTTCTCATCCTTCCCCAATATCTAAAGACAAACAAACAATCACACACCACCGACTCACAGAAGAGCGGGGTCGATCTCTGGAAAATTGGCTCTGACGGCCTCTGCCAAGGGCTCCTCCCAACGTCCACCGGTGCCACGCGCCGCGCCATGCAACGATAGTAGAAGGGCGCGCCACTCCCCCCTACCATCCTCTCCGACCTCGTCACCAATCTCCTCTTCATCATCTCCATTCTCTTCCTCGTCGTCGTCGTCTTCTTCTTCTTCGACTCCTCGGCGGGGGAGGTGGTGGGGCGGAGGAGGCGGAGCAAAGAAACCAGCGGGAGCGATTCCTCCACCGACGGCAACAGCGGCGGCTCCTTGGGAGGGAGCGGAGAAGTGCGAGGGGCCGGGCTTGCCATAGTAGCTGTCGATTACGTCAGTCAAGAACCAGACATGGTTGGTCGTAAAGTACTTACTCTGCTTCGATTTTTCCCTAGTTGCCACGAAGTCAGTCACTGGTTTCGTGATTCAAGGAGAACTGGAAAAGGGAAGACTATATATGTCCTCTTTCAAAGTCCTTGGCCAAGTGCAAGGACTTCTTGCTGGTCTACTTGTCCAAGAGCTTTCAATTATAGCCGTGCTAGGCACGACTTGTGAAGGGTAAAATGTTCAAGGAGAGTTGAAACATACCCGAACCAGTCTCTCATCCTCTCCTGCTGCTTCTTCGAGGCGGATTCATAGCCCGGAAGGGCGCGGGCGGCACGGGACACACGCTGGTTCACCAATTTCTCGTCGTCCGTTCTATTTATTGTTTAGTTCCCATTCTGTGGTTGTCCGTTGTTTCAGAGGCTTCCTACCTAGTTCGATTGGCCCTGAACAATACTGGTTAGCTACAGACAACAAGGCTGTTTAGATCTCTATACTTACTTTCGTGTATCCTTCTTCTCTCCTCCCTTCTTCTTGCTACAATACATTAGGCTTTGTTTTCATTCAATTGCTCGTTCGTTCAATGTCAAACATACCCTTGTCGTCCCATGGTGGTGATTGTGATGACTGCTATCAAGCACCGATATCAGCACAAAGATCATTCACCCTTCAGTCTCCTCGGATCCGAACGTACATCTGTATGCTGATTGCTGGGTTGGAAGTCGACGTAGATATGAGATCTTGTGCCGTGGGCTCGTAGTGAGATCGAGACAGAAATTGATCTCTGGTCGGGAATAGCCTCAACAAAACAAAGCTAGCGAGGGTCCCCCGCAAGCCTGCTGGCCATTGGTGCCTCGTATCGTCGGCCCCAACCATCTTGCCTTCTCTCTCATGAAGCGAGCGAGGTTTGCATAAAGCGAGTGCTAGTCCAGAAGAGCCGACACTGCATGTGCAGAAGTTGTACAAGTGCAATACTAGATAGGAGTCAGAGGCTATTATTGATACATGTGTTCAAGCAGATCTCGTATCATTGAAAGCATACCTTTGGTTTCGGAGAGGGACTGGTGCTCCGTTCATGGATTGCCCAGGAAGCAATGCACTGTTTTGGTTGAGCAGATTCCAGACAAGCACCAGCGAGTCTTCTGGACATTTGCCACTCATCCTCCAGTATATGCTTGAACTTTGAGGAGCCGGTGGCGAGCAGCTTCTTGGAATGGACTCGGTGTTTGTCTCTGATCTCGAAGCTAGTCGCATCATAAACCTTTGCCTCGTTCGGGTAGCGGATGATAACCAAGGTATCGCCGTGCTCTAGAAGTGCCTTGCTATAGTTGACCGCTTTGTTGTCTCGCGCCGCGAGTTGCTCGTTCTCCTTCTTGCTTGGGATTGTGCTACATTGCTGAAAGCTCCGAGAGGACGATTCTCATTGCGTCTAAGAGCACTGTCTACGCAAGCAAGTTGCAAGTGCATTCAGAGAGCTGGTGCATTCAGAGCGATCTCTGATAGAATCCTCGTACTCTGCAGCTTTCTTTGGATCCTCCTTGGCAGTCAGATTACCCGCTGCTTTACTGCCAGACTTATAGACCCAGTGGAGATTTGGTGGACTCGGAGCACAATTCGAGCAATGCTGCATATCGTTCGGCAGTGCATGCCCTCACTGGTCGACTCAGTATGGCCGTCTAATACACTTGATTTGTTGAAAAGCCATCCCATCTCATGCCAGAAGTCGGCTTGGATGATGCGAGTGACTTTTTCCCACTTATCCCAGGGAATGCATCATTCAGAGAGCTGGTGCATCCAGAGAGCCAGTGCAGCCCGTTGTCTCTTGGCGCGTTCTCAACGAAACGTGGTACCACCACAATGAGCGCTATCCTCGTCGTCGGGAATTGGGCCTCCTGTGAAAGGTCATCCAAAGCATCACACAAGGTGTGCTGCAGGAGCGAAGATGATACGAAAGACAATTCTTCGACCTTCTGGTTCTTGATATGACAGTTGGATCCCTGACTCTGGATGTATATGGGCCGGTGTTTGATATGGTCTCTGTTGTCTTGCTTCGTTGGCTATGCGGTGCTTCAGCCAGCTACCCGACTCTGGGTATCATGAATCTGTTGAAAAGTCAGTAAACAGGGTCAAGAGAAGGAGGAGTGGCATGATCACCTTTTTCAAATACTTTTCCATCAATTGCAGGTTGGAACGTAGCCATTGAAGACGTTGATAGACAAGACAAGGAAAAAGTCATCTGCAGATAATTGTCTCTGTGCGTCAGATCGAGGCTGAAGCTTAGTGCTAAAGACCATCGATAACAAAATCAGCCAAGTAGCACGTGGACTAAAGCACAAAATACATACGTAGGTACTATGAAAATTTCAACACCTTAGATGGCGCTTTGACCATGTAAATAAGATCGAAAGAGCTTCCTTGCAGGGTTTTCTTGTCTTCCAGACAACCTATTTCTCAGTTGATCAATCAACCTCATCGTTATTCCATACCTTGACAACTCCACCATGGCTATGTCTTACTCTTCAGTAACAGATCACAGGTCCAGTCGTTCAATTCAATCTCTATTTCGTATCTCCTTCGCCGGCAGAGAACGATTTGTCCCCGCTTCCCCGCGATCGAGATATTCCACCGTTGCGCGTTATGGAAGACACGAGATAGGAAAGATTTCAAGGCCAACCAGAAGAGGCAACTCCAACAATCTGTTTGAAACATATCTTCACAGGCTTTCCAGGTGAGTAGAAAGCTGTAGATGAAATACTTGTTCTGACATGGCATAGATCGTTTGTCCATCTTTGACACCCTGGATACATTGTTCTCATGACAGTTGAAGACACACATGGGTCATTCCCGAACCATATTTCCAAGAGAGATATTGAGGCCAACCGCGCAAGAACAGCATTTCACCAGCAACACCTCTCGCTAACTCCATCTCTATACATAGTTTCAGAAGCGATGTTCAAGCAGACAATACAATGCAACGATAGGACTCTTCCAGATACAGATCCTCGCTAGCCCTTTTCAGACTACTGATCCAGGAGAGATCTTTGAGGTCCACAAAGCGAGGCAGACCTAGCTACCCGAGCAATTTCCAGCAAATGGATCTAGCTGAATCTCGGATCATATGTTCAGGAGGGAGCTTGAGACCGACCATAGAAGGCGTCAACGAATCCATCAGCCGCAGGTCCTGGTTCTGGTTCTGGACTATGGGAATAGGAGAGGCGAAACGAACGAGGCAAGAGTGGAGTTTACAAGGACAACCTCCCCTCGCTTCGCTCTGGGACATGGGAATGTGAGATGTCAAATAAAGGAGGCGATGATAGCAGTCAACCAGCAACAACCCTCACTAGCTCCGCTCTGGGCTATAGAGCTAGGACATGCCGACAAAAGGATGCAGCAACAGCAGTCAACCAGCGACCACCTCGCTCCACTCTGCACTAGAGGGACAAGAGATGCGGACGAAACGAGGCAACAATAGCAACAGCTAGCGTCAGCCCTCGCTACACTCGCTCTACGTTGTAGGAAAAGGAGACGCGGACGAAACGAGGCAGCAGTAGCAGTCGCAGCGACAACCCTCGCTAGCCTCGCTCTACATTG